TGTCTGTAGAAAACCAGAAATTCCTGTCTTTGTACCCTGAGTAACGTTGACTCTGCACTGAATGGAAGTGGATATGGCAGACCCCAGACTAGCTTAAGAAATCGCATCAATGACAAAAGATAATCTGGTAACTGCTTTTTCCTCACTAAGGTTGCTGCTGTGTTGTGCCCTAGTGTGCACAAGGCTGGCTCTGCCGACTGTTTAAATCCTCCTCTAGTTTGTAAGGTTATCATAGCCTGAGGGGCAGGAAGGATGGCAAAAAACTCTGGATTAAACTGCTTGTCTTGTTGGAGGCTTACCTGAGACATCTGGGATAATGATAGGTACCTGGATCAAAGAGTAAATTCTGTATTATTCCTGGAGATTCACTAAGACTGGTCATTCATTTCCTCCTGGAAAGGGGCATGGAAAATAAGAGGAAATTCTGAATCTCTCCTACTTTAGTGTAGAATTTACAGAGTGTGCTTTAAGTTGGAGAAAAAGTGAGAAATAAAGATGGAAAATTAAAATAAAACAATAACTAATAGCAACATGTCTCTCATGTACCATACTCATTACTATTATGTTTGAGGAGGTACCTTTAAATTGGCATTGTTTTCGGAGAAAGTCAGTTTGGGATATGTTACTTAGTTTCTCTGAAAGGTTTTAATAAATTGAAGTTAATTAATTGTTAATAAAAAGTATACTGAAATGATAAGTATGATCTCTCTTCTTGGAGTATACTCCTGTCCAGATTCCAATTTTTTGTTTAAATTAAGCATAAATAAAAACATGCATTGCATAACCTGACTAGAAATTGATACAGGATAAGTTTTCCCTGATTTAAATTTCTGTGCTACTTTTGACCTATTCTGCTGTAAGTGCTCACAAGTTTTACAGTGCAGCATCTTTCTGTACTCCGTCTATGAGCCTGCTGTGTGAAAAATGGGTACCTTTTACAGGAAGGTGTTGTGCTACTTGAAAATGACCATGGTTACTTTAGGTACTGTTTTCAGTCAAGTTTGTACTTTCAATAAAGCTGATGGGGTACTAATCAAGTAATGGAGATGTTGATAGACTCAGGGGAAGATTCCTCCTGTGTGGGACAGGTTATGCAGTAGGTAGGATTTGCTTTTGCTGTATAGGTGGCTGACTGTATACATTTTCCACTCTGTGTATTGGCTGCAGATTTCAGCAATGTGCAAATGAGAGAGGAGTGTGGGAGTCTTTTGTCCTGCTGAACGCCTCTCTGACACCCTCCCTACAGTGGCCTGGAACCTCTGGAAAAGTGTGAGCAATACTGACTATATCAATTTATTTTAAGGCTGGAGTCATGAAAGTGTGCTCTTATAGGGTCGTCTCAACTCTCCTTGAAGTGCCAGCAAGATACTAACAAAGAAGAATAAAACACTCTAGATGGTGTCCATTTTGTTGTAAAAGAGCCTATGATAAAAGTGGAGGTATTTGGTAAAAAAGCTTTCTCTCTTAACCTTTGGACTAGATGAAACATGGGAGGGATAGAAAAAGGCTAGAATTGATGCATTATACACAGAAGGGGTTGAGCTGTTGGCTGTTTGTAAGCTTATATGTGAAACATGAATTTAAAATGTACTTAGATATCCATGCCGCTACTTTTTGTTGTCTCGGAGACTTGACATTTGATGATCTGGATAACCTCTACCCACCTGCAAAGGTAGTAGGGGGGAAGAGGGCAGATTTCTGACATGATGGCTGTTTTGTATAGAAGTACAAATTCTAGAGTAGACAAGGCAGAAATACATCATGCCCATGCGCTGCACACGTCTGCTGTATGTTGGCTTCATAATCTTCTTACCAAAAGTCACAAAACCATGATAAAATTACTATGCTTGAATAAGCAGCGTCTCTGAAGAATCTATTGTAAAAATGGAAAAGAGAGACTTTGCTTTCAAAGAAGAAAGAGAGGCTAACCTCAGCACTAAGATTTTCCTCTGTACTGAAATGTGGGAATAATATATGGAGCTGCACTAGTACAAACTGCCGAAGCACCTTGGCGATGCTCCAAATGAATGCCCTTTCTGATGAAGTTTTTAATACTTCAAGAAGACATAGTGTGTGCATTTAGATGCCAATAAAATGATTCCCTGCAGGACCCATAGGCTGCATTTCAATGCTAAATTACAATGAGTGTGAATGATTGACCACCAATCACTAGTGAAGCATTTCTGCACACACGTGCTTTTGCTTTTTTGCAGTTTAATCCCTTCTTGTGGTAAACTCTGTCACCACTTCAACCCCTAATTGAGATGCTTCTTTCCATCTGTCTCAATGCACATGCTGTGCCATCACCGCAGATGCTAAAGCAGCCCTAACCACTGGCAGTTTATTGACTGGAGCCTGACCTAGTTGCATTTGTGACCTGCAAGAGGCCACAGCCAAGAAATGTTTGGTCTCCAGACAAAAAACTACATTAAATGAACCAAAAGAGAAATTCACAGATGAAATTTTTGCTGCATCTGGCGATTGAGAGGGGAATGAGAACTAAAAATCCCATTACAATTATTCTTGGGTACAAGTGTAGTTTTATGTTTCAGAAAAATCAAGTAACTTTGAGTGTGTGCTCCATCTAGTCTGTTATATGCAAGAGGAGGGGAATGAGCTTGCTAAACCTCACAGGAAAGAAGGATGACCTCTGTTAAGGGTGGCAATAAGGAACTGGAGTTCAGACTAAGACAAGTGATCTGAAAGGTTTCCCCATGAAGAGTAAATTAATCCTTTAAGTTCTTGAAATTCTCTTTTCTAAGATTTTGGGTAGATTATTTCAGTAAATGAAGTCAGTGGCTGAATCTGTCTGTTGCACCTGTGCTTTCTTATAAGTATCCCTCTTTAAAAAAGAAATATTTGATTTATAATGGAAAAGCATGATTCGCATCAAGTACAGTACCTGGACAAATAGAGGAGTAAGGCAAATGCTCCAGGATCCTGTTTCTTGTACACATGATATTGTGCAAATTTTATTAAAAATATAATAAAAGTGAGTAAGGAGTAACTAAGTAATGGGACCTAAATTTGATAATCTAGGCTGCTGTTAAATGATTTCTTCACATTACCAGCTTTTTATCTAGTGTGAAGAATTCTCATCAGGAAAATTGAGAAGGGAGCTATGAAAGAAAACATTATTGGTGCTAATTCTGCCTCTATCTTTTTTTTAAATTAGGAATCCTAATTTTTTTTTCTGATGTGCTGTTTAATTCTGTTCACATGCCTAGCCTAGCCTGAGACAGCTCAAGTAAAATCCTGATTCCCTGAAGCTGACAGCAATCTTGCCATTGTGCCAGGTATCTGGCACATGCAGTTTTGATGGAAATTTACCCTGAGGACTTGATTTCTTGAAAGCTGTGGGGTACCTCAGTGTTTGCATCCAAAAGCCGAGGAACAATAACATAGTGACTCTGGAATTTGTTGTCTCATTCTGCTGATGAGAAATGCAAACACAGAAAACTCAAGAATAATATTTATGTGCAGCATTGCTTAGATTATAATTGCATATATTCTCAATAAGAAAAATGAGGTGGTATAAAGCACAGTCATGTTTTCACATACACAGGGCTTCAGTAAGAATTGGCTTCTTACATGTGGAGCTTTCTTGTGTGGTACCAATGATTGTTGTCCACTTAAAAAAAAGTAATTAAAATGTCACAGCATTCAATAGAAATCCTAGTACCTTTTGGAATAAAGCTCTAATAACAAGAAAAAGAGGAGCTATTTCTGAATTTTTTTTTTTTTTTTTCCAGCTGAAAATTGACTGGCAGCTATCAGCAAATGGAGACAGGGAAACTGTCAGAAGTATTTGCCTTCTAAACTGCTATAATCGCCTGCAGTCTTCTTGGAACCAGATTTCTGTTTGCTGACTGCATAGGCATTTTGTAGGAAGCTTTTTACTGAAAACACAAAAAGCTAACGTTTGAATTGCTTTCACATTTCTTATAGGATTTTGTTTTATTTTGAAAGCCTCTGAGCTGGATGTGTATTTCATTCCTTTTTCTTTCTTTTTTCCCTTTTTTTTTTTTTTTGGTTGTTGTTGTTGTTGTTTGTTTTTCCTCTAAATATCTTCTTTGTATCCTGCACACAGTGGAATGCAAAATAACTAAGCAAGTAAGTTGTGAATCTCTGACTACAAAATAACACTCTCCCCCCAACATTCTCAGTAATTCCATTTTTAACTAAAGTTTTGGCCTGTAGTAGAGACAATAACAACTTGTTTTAATCTTCTTAAAGTCCTAGGTTTGCATTATAACTTCAAAACCTAGTCTCAATCTAGAGGTTTTTGTAAACATCATGATGTTACTATTCACACTTAATTCTTGATGACACCTTAATTCTTAAATTGCTTACAGGCTTATTTTTTTTCCTTCAATGCTAGTTAAACTCTTTCTTAACACTACAAAAGGAGCAGAAAATTCCCAGTCAGAACTTTTCAGTGTTAGATTGTCTACATGAGTCAAATACTTTTAGGTATTTTTGCCCTTCATTGACATTTGAAACCAGACTACTGCCTTCTTACAGGGCTGCTTTCTGAGTCTCACAAACAGCTAGGCATTATACAGACAAGACTCAGTTCAGTTTCCTAAACAACATTTTCATGCCATGCTACCCACACAAAAGAGTTCGGGGCTTTCCTCGCCTCTTCAGTGTTGATACACTTCCTTTTTTATTCCCGAGTCTCCAGTCAGTGTGGCAATGTGTGGCCTGGAGGCTTGGCTTGTGACTGTTTGGATTTGCTCGATTCAATAAGCTGATACACAAATGCCTGGAAGGATTGTTAAGGTATGCTCACTACACCTAGAAATTACGGAGTTTCTGTGGGCTTGAGAAGTGGAAACTCAAGTCCAGGCTTGAATTTCAGGTGCTTCACTTTGCTCTGTGTGTGTTGTAGTGTTCCCATAAAGGGGAATGCTGTGTGTGTGCTTTGTAGCACTCCTCAGGGGAAATATCAAAACTGTAGCTTCTTTGGAATCAGAGATTCAGCTGTGTCCCAGGTATGTGGCACAATCTCTACTAATATGAAAAACAGGGGTGCCCCCGTGTCAGGCATGTTCACCCTGTGAAACACTGTAGTATCGTTGTTTCCCTGTGATGCTTGAGTATTTCATTTGCTGGAGTAGTGCAGTGCAGGTTCCAAAAAATTATGTTCTACACACCGTGAAAGGTCCCAGCAATGCAGCCAGTCCTGATTGTCAGAGCCCTCTGGCAACCAGCATTGATGGGGAGCTGACCCCTTCAGCTAGTGGTTTAGCTGTTTGCTTAGAGTATGAGAGTGGGAGGACTTAAAAGCTAGTGAGAATTTCAGTTTGAAACAGACAGTGGATGCTACAGTGGATGGTGAGATTCAAAATGGAACCATTTCACAGTTATGATCTCAGTTATGTTTTAAAATGTTTGGGAGAAAATGTCTATGGATTTGGAAAAAAAACCCCCACCAGCTAGAAAGAAACAATAAAAAGTTGTGCAAGGTGCTAGATGCCATTAGAGGCTGAATGTTTCTTTTCAGAGCATTTTTTTTAGAAACATTGCTTCAAATAATTTCATCAATCTAGAGAAAATTGCTCCTTATATCTTTTTGGTCTGTTTTCAGAGTGGATTTTTATGGAAGAACAGGGCTGTGCTGAGGCTGAGTCTTGGACAGGTTGAGCCCTTTGCTTTCAGAGGAGCTCTCTGAAAAGGCACAGAGCATTTTATGTTGCAGTTGCATAGTGATACCCGGTCCTTGCTTTGTGATGAATAATTCAAATGAAAGTGGCTGTTGTGCTGCAAAAAAAAACAGAACAGATTTTGTGAGTATGCTGTATAATGGGGGACAGCAAACAGCGTGGCCCTTTTCCAGTTTTGTGCCCTCCTCAGGAATAGATTCAACGGATAGAGAATTCTATATTTCCAGAATACAACAAATAATCTCCTAACACTAAATAAGTATTCCCTGTCCTGGGTGGAAGTAAGGCTTGAACTCAAAGGAGAAAAAGTGTGCTTCCTTCTTCATTTATTCTTAGGGGATAGTGTTGAGAAGCAGTATAACAACAGTACTCACCAGGAAGGCTACAAATAGTGTGATCACTAGCAAGCTGCCAGTATTTAGGAAAAAGAGCTTTCTGCATCCAGCTTTCCTTAGTTCCCAACTTAGAAATTTCACTGGGATTTTAACATGGTCCTAAGCTTTGCATGTGTGTTACCCCTATACTACAGAAGAAGCAAGCACCCTTCTCCTTTCATGGGAGAACATTAATAGCTATGTCCAATGGCAAACATGCATTCTTCTGGTGAGTGGTTAAATGGAATTTGAAAACCATTATACTGTCCAGTGTTTATACTGAATAGCTGGATTACTGGGAACTGCCTCAGGATCATCGGGGAGGTTACTGAGCTTTTGGTTTGATCTTGAACCCATCTTCCTATGTAAATAGTGTAAGCATTAGTTAAGAATGATTAAAGTATTAGATATTTTAAGATGTCATGTGTCTCTTCATTAAACAGCCTTTGAAAATTAAAACAGAAGTCATCAGCCCAAACAGAGTTCTGTGGTTAATGCTTTTTTCCTGTTTTGATTTCATCTAGTTATTCCCTTCAGGCATTTATAATCTTATTGAGGGGCAGCCTATGAAATGTACTACCAGGGGAAAGCAATTCTGCACAGCACACCACCTACTTGTGGGTTTACATGTAACTAGTGCTGTGAAAACTGGCTTGGTTTGGACTCTGGGGTGACCAGAGGAGGTCCTGTGCATGGTCAGTCACCTGCAGCACCTGCTGGAGGGGCAATTGCTTTCCCAAAAGGTTGGGCACATGGAGCAGCGAGGATGAGAGTGTGAGCTGTGCAGAGAAGTGAGGGGTCAGCAGATAGAGGGAGAAGTAGGATGTGCTCAGAAAATAGACAAGCACTACCTGTATGCAGTCAAAACCTGTAATCACTTTGGTTTCTACTTGTGTGCATTTAAACCAGATAAGCTTTTTTTTATGCCTTCTTTTATCTCAGTGCAAATTACTAAGGGTGAGTTATGACTGCAAATAGGAGGCTTTAAAAACACTGAAGGTTTACAGCTGCAGAGTGTTGATATTCCAGGATCTCTTTCTCACATAAGTTTGAAAGCACTGTAGTGCTCAGAGCTTGGTGCCTGCTTTTGAAATGATAAAATGTTTTAACTGTGATTCTCCTCACCTCAATCCTAGGTCCTAATTAAGCAGTAAGAGCAGTAACTGCAGTAATAATTTCTCTTTGCACTGATCTAATCTGAAGTCACAAGCAGCTGCAGTATTTATGCTACGAAGGTTTTTTCCCCTTTGGCATATATTGCACAGGCTGTCCCTTGATCCAGTTACAAGTGCTTGAAGGCTATTGATTTTTACTCTGTTTTATGAGAACTCTCCTTTTTAATTTCTCAGGCTTGAATTTGATTGATCAAATCATGCAATAAAAGTATTTATGCATCTGATTACCTGTTTATCTGGTCAGAGAAGAACTAGGTATAACACAAAACCCTCTTTCTGATTCCTGAACTGCTGGAGATCCCAGGCTCTGGGATATTCTCCTCCTCCTCCTGCCAGATCACATTCATGAGGTGGCTGTAAACATGAATGATATTTCTGAAGGGGAAGTGTTGTAGAGGCATTTCTTATGAACATCCTAGAAACACACAGCATGTGTGGAAATTACTGTACCACGGAAATAACCCCGGGTGTTCATTAGGCTGATTTGGTTGTGTTGCTAGGCAACTCGGGGCAACAAGGGGGATTTTATGTGTTCTTTTGGTAGGTACAGGTTTCTGTAGAGAATTCCAGGTAAGTAATAGAGCCGTGGGAGAAGCTGATCAGCTGCCACACCAGAAGTTAAGCCCTACAAACTTAACTTTCAAGAGGAGTTTTTCAAGGAAGAAATTGGATTAGACCCAGAGATGACGTACCCTGTTTGATTTCTTTTCTCCTTGCACTCTGACCAGCTTTGTGTTTAGGCAGGCTTTTGTTTCTGGCTCCGAGTTGCTTTAAAAACATTTGGGAGTGTGTCTTGGGGTGTTAAGGGTGATGAGTTTAGCTTGATTGGCTCGGCTTGCTTGGGAGTGCTTTGTTCTTCCCACCACCCTCAGGTCAGCTGTGAAACATGCCCTTACTGCTCAAAAAAAAAAAAAAAAAAAGGAGAAAGGAAAAAAAAAAAAAAAAAGAAATGCTGACTAATGCCAGAGTTTTCTCAAATGGCTGATGCAAACCTGGAGAATTTGCATCATCATTCAGCTGGAGTAACTTGGTATGAGAAGAGCTTAAATACAAGTCCATGCGGAAGCTGAGCTGGTTCCCAATGATAGGGCAGTACCAGCTCCCAGTGTGAAAGTGCAGGTGTTCCTGAGCAGTGCTCTGATTGCAGTAAAGGCTCAAATACACTTCAGGAGCTATTTGCCTGTGTGTAGGAGCAGCTGGAAAGATAAGCGAGGGCAGAGGAAGAGACCAAGTGGTTGGCTACACAGGGGGGGGGAAAAAGTCTTGAGTTTCTGCTGAAAACTTTTTTCCCTGTGCTTGCTGTCAGTGTGCTGGTGGCACTGTAGCATGTATAGGAAAGCTGTTGTAACCACGGTCTCTAATGGAAGCTACTTTCAGGGGCATGCTAATGGCAGGTTGCCCTCTATGGACAGCGAACAGCCAGCCCAGGAGGGAAAAGTTGTGCTGAAGAAGAAAGTGACACTTTTGAGAGGGATATCCATCATAATTGGCACTATCATTGGAGCTGGCATATTCATCTCTCCCAAAGGCATCCTGAAGAACACAGGCAGTGTGGGCATGTCTTTGACTGTCTGGACGGTGTGTGGTATCCTCTCGCTCTTTGGTAAGTCCCTTTAAAGTTTCTAATTAATCCAGAGGGAGGCTGGTGGATTATTGCTATTATTTTTCTGATTTTGTCATTGGATGTCAAGGCATGGAGTGGAGCTTAAGGACCAATAAGGCTATAGAAGGTTTTTTTCTGTGTGATAGGTTGCGTGGAGGGCACAGAGATATGTAACCACTGTCCCACCGGTGCCTGGTCAGTCAAGCTGGAAGCATAAATACTTGTTTCTTAGGGGTCCCTAAAGGAACAGGAAGAGTAAATGTCCAGTTTATGCCATGTGTCATGATGTATGCGTAGTGGTTTTTTTCTGGATGTAAGAGGTAGTTTACAGTTTGCTTGTAAGGCCCCCCAGCAGCTGGGGATGGGGATCACTCCACTCGAACACCTGATGAATGTTTAGCCTTTTAAATTTAGTTCCCTGGAGGCTAGAGCAAGGTCTGAGAGGAATAATTCCCTCTGGAGCTAAGCTGTATAGGCATAAAAAGGAACAAAATAGTAATAACACTAATAACCCCTCTTGCCAGTCTTTACTTCGTTCCTTCCTCATGACGTTGCTTTGAAGGATTGAACTGCAAAAATCAGCATGATGGAAACAAATTTGTAATGCAAGTTTTTTTGCTGGCCTGCGTATCATGACAGGCCAGCAGTTATTATATTTTACTAATTTTGTGTACTTTTGAAGAGTGTTAAATTCTGAAGAATGCTAGTTTATTTGTTCTGTACACAAAGCCCCCATTCAGAGTGGCAAACCGCAGCCTTGACTCAGTGGGACAGAGGGGTCCGCTGACCTACTTAATGAGCTAATCTCAAAGAGGCTGAAGAACTAGCAGGAGTATTTGCTTTATTTAAAACAGAAATTACTTGTTTTCTGACAGGAGGTAAAGAGGGCAAAGACTGGCTAACATGTGTCTGCTCAATAGCTAGAACATGCAAATGCCACCCTGTGTAAATTGGCTCTGAGCTTAAAAGAAACATGGGCTGTTTGCGAGCTAAGCCCACCCGAATCAGACAAGACTGAGATTAGAACCCGTAGGTCACATGTTAAATGTATCATACGATGTGCAGTGTAACCTATTGATCATCATTTGATAACATGCAAATATGTTAGAAGGCTTTCACTTAGTGATGGCTGGGTGGGGAGCTGGGGTAGCTGGCATGACACAGCATTTTGTTGTCCCTCTTCATGAGATTTGAATGAGTAATGAAATGTATTGATAGCAAAGAGTTCCTCCAGTGGCTTTTCACCCAAGTGTAACTAGATACATGTACTGTTTATGTACTTGTTAACTGCAAGCCTAGCTGAATGAATTAAAACTTACCTAACTGCCTGAAAAAAGTTATTAAAATATATCTAAAGTAGTTGTGATACCACAGCAGCTCTGTTGTTTTGCCTACAAAAGTTTTGAAAGGTATTTCTGGATATCTCTTGTAATGCCAAACTTTAATTCTCACAGGTGCCCTCTGCTATGCTGAATTAGGAACATGCATTAAGAAATCTGGTGGTCACTATACTTATATCCTGGAGGCCTTTGGCCCCTTACCGGCTTTTGTGAGAGTCTGGGTTGAGTTACTCATCATTCGGTAAGTTTGTTGTGGTTTTTCTGTGGTTTTTCTGACAGCAACACACTTTTCAGTCATAAACAAAAACCTCCACTATGTGGTGGGCAAAACAAGTCAAATATACCTTGATCAGTGAGCTGTGTTCTTTTAGTGTGGTTACCTCAGATAACACAACAACACTATTTTGCTTGTCAGCATTGAAACAGTCAAGGAGACATATGTGCATGTATGGGGGAGAAAAAAATGATTGGAAGAAAACTGCCTGCCATACAAATTCAGCTACTTGCATTCATTTTTCTAAGATTACTATATCCATTAATGTCAAAAGTAATGCCAATATCCATGTCTATATATCATATAGTGGAAAAGGGAAGTCACCTTTATATTTTCTCAGCCTTGCCACTGGCTTTTGGAGCAGTTGCTTTTGTCTGTGGATACAGGAATAACTCCTGATGAAGCTATTGCCCAGTAGTTTTCAGGTTTGGGGTGCCACGTGTTCTTCATACGTCAGTTCAGGTCCCCATTTTTTTGGTTTTGTGGGATGCTGGAAAGCTGAAATCCTGATGACTATGAAAAGCACTAACTGGCCAAATAAAGCAGCGTTAATTCTTTACATATCTAGAATGTCCAAAGTATTGTTTTGGCATGAAAGCCTGTGACTCCTGCAGCTCTTGACACTGTATAGGTGAATTACAATATGAAGATGCCAAATCATGTCACATATATTTTTATAATTTAAATGGACCTTTAAAGCAAACTCAAATGTGGCCCTCTTTTTTCTTTTTTTTTTTTTAATGGTATCACTGAGGCTGGAGGGCTTACAGGTAGAACAGGGGCAACTCACTTATAAAACAACTTTGGGAATGCTCCAGTCCTGCCTCAGGCTAGTTAGCACTCCTTTCCCCTCTCTTCTGCAATCAGCAAATTAGTCACAGAAGTGCACTCCTCATTTCAAATCACGACTATGTTTACATAATATCAACAAGTTCTAGCATAGATTTGAGTTTAAAAACACAGACAGTGCTGAGTCATTATGAATCCAAGGATCTTCATCTTGTTTCCGGAGGAAGTAATCCTGTATGTCAGATGGTCCCTTACATCCTCACCCCCATAAGTAAACTTTGCATTAACTCCGTAACATCCATCACATGTGATGAAAGAGCAGAGGTCTTAACCCTATTAACTTCTTGACAAAAGAAGAACCAGTCAGGAAGCAGATCTATTTTTAAACTGTGAGAATCACAGTGCTGTGATCATATCTATATCATTACACATTCCAGGATCAAGACAAGAGTCTGAAATATCCCTCTCTTAACTTGCACCTTACTAGGCAAGCAGACCTTATGAACATAGGTACAAACACCAGCAAGAAACCAGGTTTCATAAATTCCTCCCCTTGCAAAATTATTGCTTTTTTACATATGACAGTGTCCCAGGAATGTCACAAAAACACTCTTAGTCACCGTGATCTGCCCCACACCCAGTAAATAATCATCTTGCATGGGAAGGAACATCAATGAATTCTTTAATCATCAAATGTGAGAGGTAGCAAGCAAGGTGTACTTGTTAAAACTTGTGATGATCAGAGCAGCGCTGCTGATGCTCTGTGTAGGGTTTAATATCTGACTCCTACATTAGTAAACCAATTGGCTGCTGCTATCAAGAAGTTAAGGACTAATATGTATCTAGGTTTTTTTTCAATAGATGAAGTTGCACAGACATTTCTCAGCTAAGCCATTTTTTCCTCTGAAAGATCACAGGATTATCACACCCAGAGGCTGGCAAAGAAGCCACAACAAAACTCAGCATATCCTGTTCTCAAATATCTTTTTAGCCACTATTTTATAGTCCGGGACACACTTAAACTCTGCTCACATACTGATTAAACTGTGCCAGAATTTCCTGCAGTTTAGATGTACCTTATACTGTGCTCCTCCTCGACCAGTATAAGTAAGAACTTTTTTTTCTCCCCAGAAGTCAGGTTGCAGGTATATTACATGCCTTAAAAAAAAAAAAAAAAAAGAAAAAGAAAAAAGAGGCTAGTTTTCAAACAGTGAATAAGACTATGTAAATGCATTGGCTGTAGTAATTACCCATAGCTGTTGCTACATATAGGTTGGGTAGAGCAAGCTGCCAAGCGACTGACTCACCTGTGGTATGTGCTGGGGCACTATACCTGCTCCTTAGCTGATGTTTCTTGTGCTCCTTGCCTTTCAAAGAAAGCTGCTGTTGCCCTTCCTGCCCACTCCTGAGCTCACAGTAGTTAGGGGGATGCTAGCCTGTCCTTAGGATTGTGATCCAAAGGAAAATGTCCCATTCCTTCAACTTCCACCTCCACTGGCTGACTAAGCTGCCAGTAACATCTACCCCCAAATATGTGAATGCGAGAGACACAGCTATGAGAAGTATAATTTAGGAGCTATGTTTTAAAAGACATAGGGGTGTGGATAACAGCAACTGCCTCTTTAAAAAGGCCTGTCTTATGATGAGAGGGAAAAATTCAATTTCTGGAAAAAGGAGCTGGGACTGAGGGAAAAAAGACTGGGAAAGCTCCAAAGATCTGATCTTTCATCTGATCTAGGACACTTCAAACTACTTTTGGCAGCTTGAAGTGTTGAAAATCTGGAAGGAAGCCTGGTGATCTTATGTAAATTAAAAATATTGCACCCAGGTAAAATCGTAAAATGTCTGTGTAAATCCAACACAGAGGACATTTGGTCCCTCAGCAAAGGTAAAAATTGCAAAGCCAACTGCTGGCCAGTGAGAGAAACAGTCCTCATGTGTGAGGAACACACAAGCCACAACCCTGATTTGTCCATACAGAGACTTTCAGAGGAAGAAACTTCTGGTTTTTGCTGCTCTGCAGTTTGGTTCAATGCAATGCGTGACATTTTGGTTGAGTCATAATGCTAAGAAAGTCAGTTCTGTTTCAAGGGCAAAACTCTTCTGTGAAAAATTCCTTTATTGTCTGATGGAGAATAATAACTTCTCTGCAGAATTTTTACACTGTTCCATAGCATATTTAGCAATGATATTTCTATTCAAATTCTTTAAGGTGAGGCATTACTTCATTAAATGCTCTGGATCCTTTTTTTCCACGATAAATTTGCATGGACTCTTGTTAACACAAAAATCCTTTAAGGCAGAATAGTAATCCCTTTTGTCTTTATTGTGTGTGTGTGGTGAAGCACAGAAGCCACCAGCTGTTGTGAGAAGGGTGAAAGTGTCCTCCCAAACCAAGCACAAACACAAACAGGTCACTGGAACTGTTATATGCAGACAATGTCTGATCTGAGACACAGGGTAATTTGTTGTCAACTGTGCCAGTGCTAAGGCTTGTGGCAGACGTTTAGCTCATCTCAAAGAGAAAGGCTGTATGAACATTGTGTATTTCAAATTTGTAAAGGCAACAACTACATGTCTTCACATTTCTCTCTTTCATGGTAGGTGCTTTCTGTGCTTCAAGGAATTTTGATTTCACTTACACTGCTAGGAAGTTGTCAGTCAATAAAAGAAACAAATTCTGTTTGCATTTTAGGAAATACCATTTTCACTCATTTGTTGCATGGTCTCAGATTTTAATAACAGCTTTGAGTAGGTTTGAGATACTTGTTTCAATATAGCAGAATTCTCAGCTTGATTGAAATTAATTTGCTTGTATCTGAGGGGTGGTGAGATATAACTGGCCACTAAATTTCACTCCCCAATGACTTTTGCTTGGTATTTTGCTCATGTAAGCTAATTCTGGCCATGTTCACTTTGAGCAAGTGAATGAAGATTTCTATTGATACCTTTCTTTTCAGTTTACGGCTGTTTTACAGCATGGAATTGGCAAGAATAATCCTGGTAACAAGTGCTGTTGTCAAGATCAGAACAGCTGAGCAAAACTAAACTGCTTATGGTTCCCTGATACATTCAGAGACCACAGTACATAACAGCAGGCTACAAGCACCCGCCAATATTAAGTATGATTCACAGTTCTGTGATAATAAAGCATGATCCCATAAGGATATTATCTCTTGTGGATTAACTTTGTGATTTTTTTTTTGTTGTTTTTACTCTAGCCCTGCTGCCACAGCAGTGATATCATTGGCCTTTGGACGTTACATTTTGGAACCTTTCTTTATGCAGTGTGAAATCCCAGAACTTGCTATTAAACTTATTACAGCTGTTGGCATCAGTAAGTATCTAATTTTAGTTTAAGGGAAGGGTAAAGAAGATATAAACTAGGGGAGGGGGAAGTAATTGCACACTGAACAATTATCTGTTTCATATGAATCATTACAGAAGGGCTGTGCCTCCGGTGTCAAGGGCTTTGGTGTGACTATTTTCCTGGGTATGTGTGTTTGTGAACATACACAGTAGTAAAGAGAATAGCAGCCTTTATTAATGGCAGGCCAAATCTATTTCCAAGGCTGATCCTGTTGCCTCTTGAATTAATGGCAGAACTCTCATTACTTTTGTGTAAGCGATTTCAGTCCCTAAGAGATGGTGAGCCAGTGCCAGAGATATGGAAGAATGACTGCCTGATTTTAAGTGCTTTGCTCTACCTCTGTTTTAGGAGGCAATTGAGTGCCAAGTATAACGCCATGAAGAAATGTAGTTCTCTCGAGTGGAGCACAGGCAACAGGAGATCATCATCCCTAGTGCCACTCTGTCCTTCATAGCAATAAAACTTATTGGGGCACTTGCAGTTTGGGAAGCAGAAACCCAACTAATGACTTTGGGAGAAGGGTATGAAGCTTGGTGAAAATGCATATCTGTTACCAGCAGCTCATCTTACTCTTGCTGACTTTGAAATTAGTGTGAGAAGGACTCTGTAGGGCTACAGGCAATCAATAATTGCCAGTGGAAGGATGCAGGCTACCCAGAGACCAGGAACTTTACAGTGTACCTGGGCTGGTGTGGGTATGAAACAAGAAAGCACAAGTCATGATGCAAATGGGACTCTGGAGCACTTTGCCTTTAGTACTAGAGGCTTTTTTTGTGTTCTGTCTGCTCCCTGGTTATGATGCTCCTTGCACTAGTGTGCACACATCTGTATTCAACTGTTGGGAGAGGAGTGCTGAGTAGACCTGAGTAATTAGTAAGGGATTGTTTCTTTCAATTTGGTCAGTGCACATCTCAGAATCAAAAGGACTGGAAAAAGGAATTAAGACATGCAAAATGATCAAAGGCACACAGGAGACCCCTTCAGTTTTCCACAATAATAGGTTCAGATGCCTTTTTCTTTCTTTGGGGTAGGGTGTTCAATTGACATTGAAATTTCCAGTCTCCAGGTTACAGTTTTGGTTTGTTTTTTTTTTGTAGTCACTCTCTTGACAAGAGTTCCCTTCTGCCCAGGGTGTTAAAAAAATCATTATCTGACCACATTTCTTTCTAACTTAATTATGCACAAACTATAGGTTTCATAGGAATAATTGAATTAAGGGCTTAAGGGTCAATGACTTTTTATAGCTACATCTGTCTAAAATATTTCAGTGCAAGATAAGGGTGAAACAGATGTTCAGTAACTTCAAGATCACTGAGACAGAAGGAATGTTAAGTGAGGACTCCATCAAAGCATTTTGTTAAGTGATGCGATTCAAGCACAATAAGTGAACAATTCAAAATAGGTTTTTATTGCTTTTAATTTAATTGAAAATCTGTGTGATAAGCCAGGGCATTGCAAAGGAATTAAACAAAGAAGTAGCACTGGGGGGGGAGGAGGGAGTTATACTGAAATAATTAGAGCATAAAGGGAGAGAGGGGCTCACAGCAGTGCTTCTATGGTGAGCACAGGTCTGCATAGCACAGGTAATATGAGCTGTCATGTCACTGAAAGAAGGGATTCTTGTATAAAGTTTGTAGCGATGAATGGGACAGCTCTGAGGAAGAGAGTGGCATGTCAGAGACTTAATCTTTATTATTTGTAGTATGCTCTACAGTGGACTTTCATTTATAGTAGTTTTTGATTATATGCTACACTCAAGTTCAGGGATCCCAGAACACATGACTGTTACTCTCATAGGGTAAGAATTAGTTGCTGTGGTGGTAATCATAGAATCATAGAATAGTTAGGGTTGGAAAGGACCTTAAGATCATCTAGTTCCAACCCCCCTGCCATGGGCAGGGACACCTCACACTAAACCACATCGCCCAAGGCTCTGTCCAACCTGGCCTTGCACACCACCAGGGATGGAGCATTCACAGCTTCCCTGGGCAACCCGCTCCAGTGCCTCACCACTCTTACAGTAAAGAACTTCCTTTAATTAAGGTGGTGTTGAGCTGAGCAGACACATTGGAGCCCTGTATAATCCAATTTAATGTTGCTAAAGGTAGTCTTTGCTTCCATTGAAAATCTTAAGTTAATCAGGAAGTGAACTGCCTTTTGTCTTCTTATCATCTCCTGGTCCCTTTTCCCTCTTGTACCTAATGACAGAGTGCTCACTGCATATCTGTCTTTATTGCATGAGGGAAAGGTAGTGGGAGGCAGCATTAAATTCTGTCCTTGGGTAAGACTTTGTTCTGTAGTTTTTACCTTGTCATTTCTGATCATACTAGAAAGGGCAGGAAGAGATTCTGAAAAATCTCCGGGTGATCTCCTGCCCCCCCCAACACAATCAGCGTATCTAAAAAAATTCAGAGAGATCTTTGTCTAACCTGGTCTTAAAACCTCCAGTGCGGGAATTTCTAAAGCCTCATCTAATACTGTGGCTTGATTTTTTTTTTTATCCTTGTCACAAGACATCTTTCCCTCTGCCCCTTCCTTTTCTGCAATTTAATCCTATTACTAAAAGGTTACCCAAGATGGATGCAACCAGAATTATGATGGAGAATGGCAAATACTGTTGCTCCTCTGCAAGCTACAAACAAGTACTTCTCATAGAGGGGCTACAGCCTTTTCTGATCCCCACCACCCCACCTCAGTGTCTCTGTGGTGCAAAAGGAACAATGGTGCTGCAGAAAAGGTGTAGCTCAGATGAGACCTAAAATGGAACTTCAGGAGAGGGTAACCTTTAAAACCCCCCTCATTCTTGGTTTTGTATTTATAGGAAAAAAGTATGGGCTGGGCACAAAATTCTCAAAATCATCTCTGTTCGGAGCAAGTTCGAACAATCTTTATTCTGTTCCACAGTATGATGCCTGTTTGGTGGGGGGGGTTGTTGTTTTTTTTGTTTGTTTGTTTGTTTTATAATATAAACCAAAAAGTCCAGGCATTTCAGGGGCTTGGTAGAGAGAAGGATGCTTGTGTTGAGGTTCTCTGCAGATACCCCAGCTTTCAAATCTCTGAAGCAAAGGCTGCCTGTTTTTTTCAAACTTAGAAATTGCTTTTATTCACTTGGTATTTCTCAAGTGCTCCTTCCATCTTCTGTTGATGATGTGGGACTGAATGGGAAAATGCAGTCCATAAACGATTGGCTTCGAGGCTGGTGCTCCAGGCAGGGCTTTGGATTCTTTGATAACGGCTGGTTTTATAGGGCACCGGTCTGGACATTGGCAGGTGGGAAAGGTTTATCGCACAGAGGTAAAAGGATGCTGGGGCACGAATTAGCAGGACTCATTTGGAGAGCTTTAAACTAGATTTGAAGGGGGATGGGGTTGTAGCTCGGCTTGCCTCAGTGGGACAGCGCTCCGGAATTGATGCAGACTGGGAGGCCTCCTGTAATCCTAGGGTGAAATCGGTGTGCTTGGCTTGCTCCCTGAAATGTCTGTACGCCAATGCACGCAGCATCGGAAATAAGCAGGAGGAGCTAGAAACCTGTGTTAAGTCGGGAGATTATGATCTGGTGGCAATTACAGAGACGTGGTGGGACAGCTCACATGACTGGAATATAGTCATGGAGGGCTATGTCCTTTTCAGGAAAGACAGGCCAGCCAGGCGGGGTGGTGGGGTTGCTCTTTATGTGCGAGAGCAGCTACAATGCGTTGAGTTCTGTCCGGGGACAGATGATGAGCGAGTCGAGAGTCTGTGGGTGAGAATTAAGGGGCAGGCTGGCAGGGGCGATACTGTTGTGGGGGTCTGTTACAGGCCACCGGATCAGGGTGAGGAAGTTGACGAGGCCTTCTACAGGCAGCTGAGAGCAGCCTCACAGTCACAGGCCGTGGTCGTCGTGGGGGATTTTAACTTCCCTGATGTTTGCTGGAAGGACTACTCGGCAACCCAGCCGCAGTCCAGGAGGTTCCTCCAGTGTATGGATGATAACTTCCTCATGCAAATGGTGGATGAGCCAACCAGGAGAGGTGCGCTGCTGGATCTCATCCTCACTAACAAGGAGGGTGTGTTTGAAGGAGTGAAGGTTGAGGGCTGCCTTGGTTGCAGCGACCACGAGATGGTAGAATTCAGGATCTTGTGTGGTAGGGTCAGTAGAATAGCAAGTAGAATCGCAACCCTGGACTTTAGCAGGGCAAACTTTGGCCTCTTCAAGCGATTGCTAGGGGAAATCCAGTGGGCTAGGCTGCTTGAAGGGAAAGGGGCCCAAGATAGTTGGTTGATGTTCAAGGACTGCTTTTTCCGAGCTCAAGATCGGAGCATCCCGACACGTAGGAAGTCAAGGAAGAGGGTCAGGAGACCTGCGTGGCTAAATAGGGAATTGCTCGGTATGCTCAAGTGGAAGAGGAGAGTTTACAGGTCATGGAAAGAAGGGCTGGCCACTTGGGAAGAATATAAGGCTGCTGCTAGAGGATGTAGGAAAGCTGCTAGGATGACTAAGGCCTCCGTAGAATTAAAGCTGGCGAGAGGGGTCAAGGACAGCAGAAAGAGCTTTTTCAAATACATGGCAGGTAAAACTAACACCAGAGGCAATGTAGGCCCGCTGATGAACGGGACGGGTGCCCTGGTGACGGAAGATACAGAGATGGCAGAGTTACTGAATGACTTCTTTGTCTCTGTCTGCTCTGCCGGAGGCAGTCCTGAAGAGCCCTGTACCGCTGAGACCTCGGATGAAGATAGGTCAACGGAGCGGTCTGCCTTAGTCGATGAAGAATGGGTTAAAGACCAGTTGAGCAATCTGGACATCCATAAATCCATGGGTCCAGATGGGATGCACCCGCGGGTGCTGAGGGAACTGGCTGAGGTCATTGCTAGACCGCTCTCCATCATCTTTACCAAGTCTTGGGAAATGGGAGAGGTGCCTGAGGACTGGAGGAAAGCAAATGTCACTCCTGTCTTCAAAAAGGGCAAGAAGGAGGACCCGGGTA